TTGGTGCCAACTATATATTTTTTTGATAAAATTATAAATACGTATATTATTATTATTATTACTAACATTATAGCAGTAATAACTATAAAATGGAGCTCCTAACTATAATTATTTTATTGTGCAGTTATAGTCACAAATACCAAACTTTTACTTCAATTAGTACATCCTTATTTAACGATAGATCGTAGAATTAGGCGAACGAGATGGGAGTTCTAGATTTGAGTCTCTTGCACGTATTATTTTTAACTGCAAAGTAACAATGGACACAAGTCGCGTTCATAAGCGAAATGAACGAGAGAAGTAATTATTTACCAAACGACTGCTAATTCCGTCAAGCTTTCATTCCGCCGTCCGCAATTCCTTATAATTAGCATAGCGAGTAATCTTGATCGGCGAGGCGGCATACCGCTCGCACGCGGAGAGCCCTCCACGTCCGGTTAATGCCGGTACTCCGCATGGCTAATAACTTAACGTCGTCCGAGAGGTCCTCGTAAATGAAAATGGCGCTGCGGGCGAAAGAAGGGGAGGAAACGAAAGGGAGAAAGGACGAGTCGGGTTATGGACCCGAAGTAGATGCCGTCGACGCCGCAACACGTCGCTTCGTCCCTAAGGATAATGCGCGCGGTATACTCTCAACTGCGCTGGAATGCCTCGGGAAACTTTCCCTAGATTCTCATTACGAGCCCGCGTGCATCCCGTTCCACAAAACGGCGTCTTTTCCGACTAGATTTTCACGATTCTCCGCGAGAAACCATATCAAATATGAGAAATATATGATTGAGAAAATCGTACAAATGACGCATTGAAATAACATACAGAATTTATCGCAAATAAAAATTTCGCTCTTTAAAGTAAGGTGTACGATAAAATTACGACATTAAAATGTTCATTATTAAAATATTTATTATTAATTTATGTGATTCCGTAATTAAGTGAGCATTATTAATTAATATATACGTATACTATATATATATATATATATATATATATATATTTGTCAAAATTACGTGAAAATTCTTCGGGTGTCATCAACAGTTTCTACCAGCGACGGTGGAACGTTCGCCGATCTACCGCTCCTTCCTCATCTGCTTGGAACAATTAAAAATATTGCTGAAACGAAAATGTAAATTTCAGCGTGTCGATGACAGTTCTCGCGTATGCTCGACCACGTTTTGAATTTTGCTCCACCTTTTGACGATATTTCACCGCGAAAATGAGCGGCACGATGTTGAAGCGTATTGTTCGTTAAACATACTTCGACGCTTGTGATTTATTTTATACGAACGGAAGTGTCATGAAAGAGAAAGAGAGAAAGAGAAAGAGAGGGAAAGGGGTGAAGGAGGGAAACGGAAGCACGATGCATATTTTATCGTGACAGCCCGATACTGTGCCAGACGTGGTAAAATGAAAATTAAATTCGACTGACGCATCTATTGACCGCCATATCGTGTAAGCTATAAAATGAAGATTATTCATTAAAATTGTGGAATTAATTTTGAGATTAATTTTTTTTCAAACGCCCGTCCTTGAATCTTTTTTATCGTAACAGCTCCTCAATTTACATTTTACAATTACAATGTTACACAACGTAAAATTGCAAATTTACTACGAACAATTTTTCGCCGATGTAACAAAAATGGTTAGACGTAGTAATTTCGAATTACAACTGTATTATCTTCTCTGCAGGCAAAATCGTTCAAACAATTTAAATGATCCTGTTTCCAAGGAGTCGTCGCTTTAAACGTATAGCGCACTTTTCTTCAACACAATATAATGACAATGTAATAATTCAACACGCTCTCTAAAATTCGTAACGACTCGTCACATCACACGAACGCTGTGTTTGTATTTGCACCGGCATTTCGACCGTGGAAACATCAGCTATTCTCCAAAGAGAAATAACTCGAAAGAAGTTCCATTACGATTCGGGCAAGGTTTGTAAACAGCACATCTAGGCTCGATGGAAGGTGTCGAAGATGATTCGAGGGGTGGAAACGGCGTAACGAGACCAGGATGGGGCGAATACGGGCATCTAGACGCGGCGTCCCAGAGAGTCCCTTTGGTAGCTCAACTTTTGAAAACAGTGAAAGTCATTTAAAGTTTGCCCTGCGCGTTCGCCGCGTCACCTCCCTCCCTCATTTCCCGTACCCTCCAACCATTCTCCGCCACCGCCGTGACATCCTTTTTCCCGTCCGGAGAAAAGTTCCACTCTCCCCCCTTCGTCCCTGCCATCAGGATCAAGCGTGTGCGACCCGACCCCGACGAGCTCGATCACTAAATCCTGCCCTCGTCTTTGACAGAGGAAGAGCAAGAGAAAGAGAAAGAGAAAGTGGGAGAGTTACCCCCGAAATTTCACATTCGACTTGGCTTTTTGCTCGAACGAACCCTCACGCGATAGATCGACTCCTCACTCAGTGGCGTGAGGCTTGTGAAATGCGAGGACGAAAGCGCGCGCGCGTGTAAGGACCCGGTCTTTACATTTCGAATACATTTGCTTGGCTTTGTGGAAAAGCTTCAGTTTCGTGGGTGAAATTTGCAGCGCGAGCTTCGACGAGATTCCCGCTGTGCATTGCTGCATCCACGCCGAGTAATTAAATGCAGAAGCCGGTGTAATTTCGGCTAGAGTTTAGATTTCGATACTGCAAACTCACGAAACTAGTATCTATGTTCAACGACAATGTAAACGTGACATATTTACGTAATCACGACATCTTCTATACATAATCACAAAAATAAATCATCGTAAAAATAAAAGACAACAAAATATGCATTATTAACAAACATTTACAAAATTGTGTGATAGCGTAAAGTCCATTTTAAATCGTAAACAGCATTTATGAAGGCAAATATGAGTAAAAAATTATCAAATTGAATTAAGCTATAGGTGTTAGATAGCCGAATTTAATTATATACTATTAAATTTTATAGGGTCAAATTAACTTAATGTGAGTCGCCACTGCTCCTACTCAATAATATCGTTATTTTTTATTAAAACAATGGTTATATTTGACACTATACACTATCAATTTAACATTATATAGTGTCAAATTTAACTATCATTTTAGTTAAAAATAACGATATATTTAATAGAAGCAGTGGCGACTCGCATTAAGTTAATTTGACCCTATAAAATTTAACAGTGTAGATAATTTAATTTAATTTTTATTCAAAATCTTATTTGATTGCTTTGCATTCAAGATAGATTTAATAAATAAAATATATTTTTTTGAGATGATATATTTAAACATTGGAAGATTGAGGTATAAAATCAATTTAGTGTGTTTGAATAATTTATATATTCTATTTCATTCAAACTTACAATTAGTTGTATTCAATATATATTTTGCAACAGTACAATATAATATTCAAAAAAATAGTTATCCTACTTTTTACATAAATTTTAATAAGATTATTGGGTTTTTATAATGGTTTGGGTTTTCATATAATATTTTCCATAATTCATATCATAGTTTCAAATCCCCCGCTTTCGAAGATACTAGTCGTTAGATGTTCTGATTCGATTACACAGCTGTGTTATCATGCTAACACGTATTTAATCTAAAACCGTTCAAACTGATAACAAAATAATGGAAATATGTTATAAACATATGATAACTCGTGAAGTAAACTAGAGTTCTCTGTGTAGTAAGTATTTAGTTCACGTAGCCTATCTTTCTTCAATATTTTTTGGCGCATGCCTCATCTAACTTTTTTTTTTTATAGAATTAATGTCTTTACAATGATTGATTTCGAATAAGGCTCAGCAGCACATCTCATTGTATACATCGCTCTAAGTTTTTACTCTTTTCAACACCTTCTGACTACTCGTGTATGTTCGTTATAATTCCGACGTCACTAGTGGACCTGATTATTCGGTACCATTTCCTTTCGCGATATTCCCAACAGTCACGTAAAGATTTTAAAATAGTGAGTTTACGAAATATTGTGAGCTCAGTGTGGTATTTACAACAATTTTTTTCGTAAGTATCATCAACTTATGTAAATAATAATTTCTCTCACTTATTATGAGAATATTTTTACATTATATTTTTTGTAATATAAGAGAATATATCTAATGATATGTATAATGCCAACCTAGAGAAAAGAAATTCCTTCGATTTAAAGAAATATTTCTTTGCTATACGATTAAAGAAAAAATTTCTTTGATTTAAACATTATTTTTTTAACTCAAATAAAATTTCTTTCATTTTTTCATTTCTTTCATTTTTACACTAAAAATAAAAATAAAAATAAAAAAATACTCTCTAAATCTGAACCAATGGATAATCATTGATATCAGTGCCAAGTAGGTATGCCACTGGTAATCAATGAGTGAAATGTGAAATTCCTAACCTAGCTAACCTTTATTATGTGATCTAATTAATCTTATTTTAGTGCATAAATTCAATGAATATAGTATTAGAAGATTGAAATTAACATATAAATATCAATATTAGAATATATAATGCTCAAATCTTCTTCCTTTTTTAATTGAACTTTATTGATTATCCAGTGCCAAATACATCACTGGGTGATTAGTGAATAGTGGCATACTTGGCATTGATATCAGTGATTATCCACTGATTCAGATTTAGAGAGTAGATCAGATAACCAAACGGAAACTCAATACTAGATTAAAGGAACATAAAAATGACTACAAAAAACCAACGAATAATCTGTCTGTTATATCTCAGCATGTGTTAGATCTCAATCACGAAATTGATTGAAATAACACGAATATAATTGATTCAGAACGATCATATTACAAACGATTAGTCTCGGAGATGATTCACATAAAGAAACAGAAAAATAGTTTAGAATAAGCAATATGACACGGAACGTTTTCCAGAAATGTATTCTCCGATCATTAGTAATATTCCCCCTTCCCAATAACTATCCTTCATCCCTTCCTAATAAATTTCCCTTTCTCTTTCTTAAAATATTAAGTATAAATATCGCCTAGGTTTAGGTGAGAGGTCATAATGATTTGGTCGTTCGACGTTACTTAACAATTATTAAAGTTTCAATATAAAAATTTTAAATCTTTACACATAATGTATGATTGAAGAGGAATTGTGGACCTGATGGTGGAACATATATTAACGAATACGTGGTAAACATATTAAAAATCATTATTGATAGAACGCGATTTTATAAAAATTAATTAACATAAGTCTTGATTATTAACGTTTTTTCGGGTTTGTTATGTTTTTTTGTTTCTTTTTTCTTTTTCTTTTGATTTATTCAATAATCTACAATAGCATCAGACAATCACGTAGTAGGCGGATATAAAATTTTTAATAGAACATCATAATATAAACCGTTCTGCAACTGCAATGTTTCTTCGCTGCATACATACGATTGCGAATTCTTAATTTGTTATATTGCATCTTTTTATAAAAAAAAAAAAATTGTTTAAAGAGTTTAGTGATCATGTAATGAAATTTTCTTCTGTTGTGTATTCGGATTACGTGCATGTTCCAATTTCAATTTGTAATACGAAAATTTATTGTACTGAAGATGGTCACATGGTTGACCGAAACGTTTACTTTGTTTATTTGAAATACATGTTTTAAGCTAAATAAAATCAAGCGTTGTGGCTGTATGCTCTTTATTGTTGACAAATTATAAAAATAACATCCTCCAATAGTCCTGACCTCGATATATGTTATCAAACTCTAAATAAATTCAAAAAGATTTGATATGTCAGTCAAACACTTTAGATTAGATAATACAAATGCCGGTTTAGATTAGTTAATACGAATGCAGTGTACTGTAACTTTCAAATCTCATAATCCGAAATGTACTTACCTATTTTAACAAAATAATGTCTTATTATAATGTTTTGAAAAGCTCTCGAAATAAGCTACAAGAATATGCAATAAAAAATGGAGGATTCCATATAAAAAAATTAAACAGACCTTCATTGGCCTTATGTGCTCCACCTAAAGTCGAGTATTATCACCATTAAATACATTTCAGTTCCATAACCGCTCGTTATATATATTTTATTACAGTTAATTGTTTTCGAGATATTTTAACGTTTCCGAACTTTTTGAAGACCCTGTATAACAGTATGTTGTTTCCGTAAGAAAATATATAAAAGGCATTTTAGAGTTAAATTTTCATTAAAATGTCACAAAGTGTACATATATCAGGTTTATTTTTACTTGTCGTATGTATCATCATCAATAATATATGTTCGAGATTCCAAAATTGTAAAATTATTGAAATTTATCTGAATACTTCAACATTTGTGCTCTTTTACAATTTTTTATACATTTTATCTGCGTATTTTAATTGACGTATCATTATTTTTTAAGTGATAAATCCAATATTATCTGGATTTTGTGATAAGATTAAAATTTGATATATTCTTTGCGTGTTTTTTATCGTTTTTGAAGAATTGTTGATGCAATTTGCTTTTTAAGCTGTAGGTGCAAGTAAGTTTCAATGCAAACATGATAGCTTTCAAGTTTACTAACGGATCGTGGAGAAGCATTTTCCAAAACAGGTATGGTGCTAAATAAATGTACTCTCTAAATCTGAATCAGTGGCATACCTGACACTGATATCAGTGATTATCCACTGGTTCAGATTTAAAGAGTATTAAATCGTAAATCTACTTAATCTATCTCTTGTAAATACGAATATATAATATAATCTAATCGTGTCCTAAATTACTAAGATATCTATAGTTTCTTATCTTTAAAACACATGACTAGAATATCGAAATCATACATCCTATATGTATATTCTATTTAATATATTATAATATATTATAATATATTATAATAGTATTTGCTCAGCTAAATAAAAATAGACCATTTATTATAGATTACTAAGAAATAGCATATGTATCAATACAATCGCCAGACCAATGTCCACAGTGGATCAAAAGGAAATCGAACAATTTACTTTTTTTAAGAACTTGTGGTGGGATGAGAATGGTCCAATGAAACCCCTTCATTTATACAATTCATTCAGAATACAGTTTTTGAAAAATGGATTGATAAACGCTGGATTCAAAATACAAAATCCAGACTTTCCATTAGAAAAAATAAAAATTGTGGATGTTGGCTGTGGTGGAGGTATATTGGCTGAGAGTTTAGCTAGAGCGGGAGCGCGAGTAACCGGAATAGACGCATCGGAACAATTAATAAAAGTTGCTAAAGATCATGTAAAATTGAATCGCAATATATCAGAAAAAGTGAATTACATTCACACAACCATAGAAGATTTTGCTAAGGAGAACGAAAACAGCACATATGATGCTGTTATATCTTCTGAAGTTTTGGAGCATGTATCAGACCCACAACTATTTTTGAAGGTATAATATTATAATAAAAGATTTATGAAATATATTTACTACATAAAAATGTTTCCCAAATATTGTGTACAGGAATGTGTGAAAATTGTGAAACCCGGAAAGTCGATTTTTCTAACGACGATAAATAGAACTTTAACATCTTGGTTGTCTACTATTATAGCAACCGAATACATTTTCAGAATTATACCTTGTGGTACTCATACGTGGAATAAATTTATTACTCCACATGAAGTTCAATGTATATTAAAGAATTGTAAGTATGATTCTTGTTAATTCTAAGAAAATATTAAAAAATAATTTGTTGCATAAAAAAATCATATCTATATACTTATATATCTGACAAGTCCGTAGTACGAATTATAAATATTTCTTAATCCTTTCCTTTTTTCTAGATGGTTGTGAAACAAGATCGATTCGTGGTGCGAAATTGAATCTAATAACACGTAAATGGTCTTGGTCATCAAGTCTATCTACTTTTTATTTACTACATGCAATCAAACAAAAAGAGACTGGCGTTTAAATAGTCTTTGAAAAACAATTTGTATTCATAAATATAAAATATCGTATAAAGAAATCATTCTTGCTATTTTTTAAGCCATTAAGAAATTGAAGCTATCGATTTTCAATATAAAACAGTATAAATTTTAATTTATATGATGAATTGGTTCTTCCTAGTGTAATAATATTATCTTAGAATATAATAATTATTATCAATTGTTAAACGTGAATTATCAAATATAATAGCAATATGAAGATGACTTAACTTCATCTATTGTCGATTATGTGACTGCAGTTGTGGCTAAATGAATATAAACCGACATGTTCGTAGGAGAGGCGTTCGATGTAAACAAAGACGGTTACGGTAATGTTCATTCGTGAGTGAATTTTCCGCAGTCAGTAACATGCACTTTCGCTCAAAATGCACACGCTCATCTCTGCACCGCAAATCACTGAATATTCCGAGGGTGTCGCGAAACAGGGATTGAAGAGACCAAGCTGAAGAGACTACCAGCAACATCACCCTCACTGTCACCCTCTCTCTAACTCCCTCTCTTTTGCAGTTAGTGTTTGCGTTTACGCATCACGCTGTTAACACCCACTGCCGAAATACTAACGTAAGCAAGGGTGTGCAATCGCGAGCGTTGCACCCTTCTGCATTACGATATCGACCTCAATCATTTAACTCTCATCTAACGATGATGACGATACTACAATGTCGTCAAAGTAAGTATTGATTAAATCTAAAAAGAAGAATAAATGAAACGAGGAAAAAAATTATTTGGAAAAATTTATATAAATACAAAGCATGAAGAAAACATATTTGTTTTAATGCGAAAATTTATTCTAAATTAATTATTTAAATTTAACAGAAATGTATACAGAAGAATCCTTCTCAAATTTCTTTTTGATACACTGTTAAAGACAGATTAAAAGTAATCAAATTGTTTCTTATTATCTCGAGTTTAAAAACAAATACAAAATTAAAAATTGACAGCGTCATCGATATTTTCAGCCATCTTCTTTCTGATACTGAATGTAGCATCGACATTTCATTTCATAACTATATGATATTTATAATATATTTAGTGTGGTAGGACTGTTGTTCGTGTTCGAAACAGACTTTTGTTCGTGCATAATGAAATGTTAGAGTATGATATCGAGACGAAGTATCGATATCT